TTGAGTAGACAATATTCCAAGGTTAAAGCAATCTTTGTTGAAAGCTGTAGACCAATTCTCCCTTATTTTGTACAGATCCTTTAACCACTGATGGCTTTGTAAGTCTCCTTCGCTAATCATGTCATTCCACAAACTATCAAATTCCTCCACAGAATCACACTTGGTGAAGCAACTATAGAAAAGGCCTTTCACTTTGTTGTTACTATTAAAACACCAAACTTTGGAAGGAGCCTTCTTGTGTATATGCCATTGGCACAACCGATGTCTTATATTAGGGAATACAATCTCTATCGCCCTAGCCATTGCTTGATCCTGATCAGTGAATATAGTAACTGGATGTTTATTATCCATAATTCTTAAAAATATTTGAAATAACCAACAGAATGAATCAATTGTTTCATCAGATAGAAATGTCATCCATAATATAATGTTTTGGCAATGATGATTGACTCCAATAATAGGGGCACATACTAAATTAAATTTGTTCAGACATTAACTAGTATAAAAAATTATTACATCTCCAAAGCAGTCGTAATCCACTCTCCCCAAACCATTAACCCAAAAAAAATTTACCAACATGTCTTTTTCATCAGTTTGCACATCCCATGAAAATAGATGGTCTTCAGCTGACCTATTTTTGAACAATTCGATTAGCGAATTGCTGTCCACATTCTCAATTTTTGCCATTCTCTCCTTTTGAACGTAGTTGTATGCATCTCTCTTGTTAAACCCCAGATTTTCTATACCTCCAACCTCATCAGATAGATAGGAAAATGCATTTATTGTTCTTATTCCAGCATCAGCCATTGATTTCAAAACGGACGCATTTTCTTCAGTGATGTGCCTAGATGATCTCAGCAAATGTTGATCATCTGGTTTTGCCAATTCATGGTTATGTGTTTCTACCGAATTTTTCACCGTCCATATCCCTTCTTCATTAACAGAAAATCTCACCATAGTAGGACATCCAGTTCTTGTAGTTGATTTTCGAAATTTAATCTTATGTATTTTTTCTGTTTCTTTCTTGAATCCAGATTTTGAACAGACAAAAATCTTTGATTTTAATTTCCTGGTATCAGGCTAGTATGAAAGATGTTCTTTCCGAACATTAAACCCATGCATATGTGCATATTGGCAATATTTAACATATGCTTCATTCTCAGATTTGTAAACCCCCTGGGAAAAAAATTTTCAACATTCATTATTACCACGAAATAATTCCATAATAATACATGAAAAAACCGAACTGTACCGAGTTTTTTGAAGGCTCGGTACAAACATATGATAATTATAATCGGTACATAGTAAACTTGTTTGACAAAATACAAACAAGACCATTCAGCATACCGAGTAAATATAGTAACTGGAAGGAGCCTTCTAGGTATATAGAAGACATAAGTGACGTAAATATACCTAAAACTTATCAATACCGAGTTATACGTATGAATACCGAGCTATACCGAGTTCTCAAAAATCTTGGTACAAGTTCTTCATAAGTATAATATCGGTACAAAAATCAATTACAAGTAATAGAAATAAATATCCAGCAGTAGCTAGTTATAAAAATTATAGTTACATATAAATACCGAATAGTACCGAGTTATCAAAAATCTCGGTACAAGTTCTTCATAAGTATAATATCGGTACAAAATCAATTTCAAGTAATAGAAATAAATATCCAGCATGTACCTAGTTATTAAAATTCTAGTTACATATAAATACTGAGCAGTACCGACTTATCAGAATGTTCGGTACAAAAAAATATGAGAGGATCAGACGAAGATGGATGAGAAATTACTTGTAAAAAATAAGAAAAATCGTCATCCAAAGTATAAGTGCTAAATGTTTCGTTGAAATCATCAAACTCTTCTAAAGTACTAGAAGGAATCTTCTCATCCATCGCCTTGAACGCTTCGCGGAAGTTTTTGTAAACCCTAAATACTGTATAACGTTCTGTGTACAGTAGCTAATCGGCCAAAAGTTTACTCTAAAATATATACCCGCGTGTTTTAAAGTTTTCCCGCCCGTTTCAACCAAATTAGTGAAAAGAGACGTGAAAAATCAAAATTATCACGGGTTTGGGTCGGGTCTTCGGACTGCTACGTGGCGTTAAATTAATGGTGGCCAAACCTATAGCAACATTCGGTCAAAGGACCTAATAATTGTTCGAGAATCAGAGCCTACATAGAGGAAATTAATAATTCCACATATGCAGAATAATATCAAGCCTCTTTATAAAGGAGAAACAGAGCTTGTTAATGAGGAAATGTGGGCTTCCAATTATCCCATGATCATGGGCATTTATAGGTACAAGAATGAAGAAATATTACAAATATTGGAAGTTGTAAAACTTAAAGGTTAGAGTTACACTAAATCTCCATAATGAAAAATTACAATTATTAGAGGAAGGGAATTTCAAAAAAAAAAAAGAGATACAATCAATAATAGAAGTGTTATCAAGATGTGGTCTAACACACTATTAACAACGATAATTAGAAGAGCATGATGCAACCTGCAACCAAGTATATATTATACTATATATAGTGCATGTTTATTTTTATAAGATATTATTTTTAGACAACATAGATTTCGACGCCAAAAAGGAGGAAAATGATATAGCACCAAAAATATACATAAACAATAATGAATACTAATGCAATATTTAAATTGAAATTTTTTAAATTAAATCCAAGACATCCAAAATCTAATTTCAGCAAACTTATAGTAAAATTGATTGTTTGATGGTATTAGCCCACTAAAGACCAAAAGTGTTTTGATCTGAGTCCAAACAAAGACTTGAAGTGTATTTGAAAATTTCATGATGCTATTTGAAGGACAAACAAAATTCAAATCCTGCATAGTTATACCAAAATAAGCATCTCAATAAAAAAATCTAAAAAGCCCAAGATCATTTTATTATGAGGACTTTAAGACACTAAAATGTCAAAAGAATAATTAATAATCGAGGGAATCAAGAAGGGTTGTTCGATGGAGTTTTTGGATATTTTCATTCAAATTGCTAAAATGTCACTCTAAAAAATTAAAAATGTTCTACATGAAAGGGACCTAAAGTTGAAAAAAGCTTAGAGATCTGAGAAGTTCATAATCCTTTCCACGCCAGTCGCTATCACTCAATCGTCGTTGTTTGATCACTATAGCCAGACAACCATCACTCAATCACCATTGCCTGACCATCATCATCCAACCATCATATTATGACTGCCATCAATCATTCGTCGTCACCCGCCCATCGTAGTTCGACTACCATAGGCCTATCATCATCTCCTGACTATCACTGCCCAACCATTGTCACTTAATGATTATTTCCTAACCACCTCCATCCACTTATAACATTGACATCTATCGACTATTGTATGTCTCTTGATCGCTATCATTTCCCTTTGTTGCTTTTCTAGCATTCTATATTATTTCCATAGGAGACCAAGCTAGTATTTTATACTTTCTAATCCTGTCTACTCCAACTTAGAGGAAGAACAAATTTTTATAACTTTACTTACATAGTGAATTACTCAACTTAGTCGGGCCCAATGATTTTTTTTTTCTTTTTCTAGGTATTCTATGTAAAACCTCTAATGTCTCCCGGAAAATCTAAGACATGAAATTTTGTGCAGCACCAAAATACCCACTCTACCACCATAAAATTTCTAAGTTAATTCAAAATTAGAATATACTAATGATTAATTAATCCAATCAATTCCTAGTTACTATTAATATATTTATTAAATGACTAATTCATGGATAATTAATATAGCTAATTCCTAAACAAGCTTGAACTTTGCAATCTCTCTAATCAATTTCTAGTTACTATTAATCTATTTATTCAATGACTAATTCATCGATAATTAATATAGCTAATTTCTACACAAGCCTAAACTTCGCAATTTCACCAAACCATATTTTAATTTAGGTTGACTAAGGGGGGTGGGTTGGGCAACCAAAGAGCTTCGCAGTTTAACGCCTAATCTCGTGAGCATTTCACCTAACATATGCTCACTGAACTTACCCAGATAGGCAACCAAACAGGAGAAATCAAAGCTTTCTAATTTTCCTATTTTATACAGATTAAAAATATATATATGATTGTGACCTAATGTGACAAATACATAACCAAATCAAAGATTACTTATTGTTTTGAACAGAAGAATTGTATAGAAAAGCCATTATACCTTTTTATTGCTCCATAGCCATGGCTGCCCACAACAAGCACATCAGCATTAAACTTGTCCACAGCTTCACAGAGAACGTTCCTTGCATCTCCTTCCACCACCTCAAATAAAACGTCACTTACCTTTGCATGATCAAGATATTATCAGAGAAATATTAACAAAGAAAGATAACTCCCTAAAAATAAAAAATAAAAAATAGAAGAAAAAGTAAAAAAGAGAAGAATGTTGTCATTTTTAATCATTTCAAACAGCAAGAAGAACGAAAGGAAAGATCTTTTAAACTTGACTAGTGAAACTTTACAACAACAAATCTTTATCACACTATATAGGGTCAGTTATAACTGGTGTAACTTTAATGTAACTAAATGTAACAATGTGTTATTCTTGATGGTAGAAGTGGCTTTTAATGCTGCAAATCTCTAACTTCTAATTTGACTAGTGGAATTAATGCAAAAATTGCATATCAATGCATCATATCATTCAGAGCTAGGTTTTGTGCAGTTAACTAAGTGCTCTTCTCTGCAACTTATCTTAAGCAGCTCATTTGTTTTGCTATGATCTTATTCATATGAAGTATTTAATTTCACCAAGTGATGTATTACTTTATACTGCATTAACAAAAGTCATCAAGGTTTAAGTTCCAGAATATTAGTTAAAGAATGGCTCGTCCTTTGACAATCCATAGCTATGATTTCAACCACCCAGTAACCTAATTTAACTTCCAGGTTTCAGCATTTTACTAAATAGCTGACATGCACGAGCCAATCAAGCCAGCCTCTACACGAAATTGCATTCCAAAGCAATTATCTTAAGTCATTTACATAGATTCCATATATTTAAATAGATTTTAACAACTTTTGCATGCAATAGTAATTTGTAAACAATTCTTTTGAATTGATTAATAGCAAATTAAAGCAGGTGATTAGCTGTGTACTTAAGAACATTCAATTGGCCCAAAATGATTGATTAAATGTCAAAATATACTAAACCGTCTCATGATAGAATGGAAAATCATACCGAATTAGCAACACAATGCTCCTTAGCCTTCTCAATCACCCCAGCAGCTATTCTTTTCAAATCTAACTCTACATAAGGAAGGACATCAGCAACTCCTGCATACATAACAATAATAATAATAACACGTCTTATCCAACTTTCTATCTCAAAAATCATAATAAAAAATTTGAAAATAAGTCTCTACTCATTTGAGTTGCTAATTCAGATAAAGAAAGAATACTATAAGGAGCGTTAAGTGGATGGATGCTAATTGCATAATAGATAATCAAAAAGCAAATTATTGAACTAATTTCATAAATCCTAAACATGTCATTTAGCTGATCTTGGCAGTTATGACTAGAAGAAGTTGACCGGTTTTTGGCGAATAAGTTGGAAAGGACCCGGTAATTTTAGCCAAAAATCCGAGGACTTCTTTAGCTCAGAACAATTTTAACAAAAAACAACATATATCATAAAAAAATTACTCATACTATGACCTTTTAGATAAAAAGTAATAGAAAACCATTAACAAATAAGTAATGAATACTATAAAGGCAGTCTCGATCTTCATATGAGACAAATGAGAAGATTTGTGCAGCAGCGCTGAAACAAAACTAGCATATTCACAGCCAGACCACACATATTATAAGCATTTACAAGAAATTAAAAAAAAAAACAAACAAATTATAAAAAATAAAATAAACGAATTAAACCAAAAAATACCGGGGCCTCCTATGGCGATGACCGAGGTAGAGAACGGCTTGGCGTGGATAATGACCAGCTTATAACCAGCAGCACCCCCGCCGGCGAAGAAGTGGCCGAGGATCCACTGAAGCGCGTAGAAACTGTGCTCGCTGTCGTCGATTCCGACCACAATCGTCCCTCTTTTCAGCTCTCCGGACACTTCAGGCGCTTCCTCCGCCATTCCAGTCCGCTTTCTCCTGCGATCGAATCATCAGCTAATCGGGAAAGAAGTGCGCTTTAAAGTGATCTGGAGTTCCAATCTTGTAGAACACACCCGATTTGTCGTCAGGCAATAACTTGCTATTCATGGGTCCCAAATTCGATTCCAGGAGAATTTGACAGTAGGCTGGAATTGCATGTAGAACTCTCTCTCTCTCTCTTAATATTCCTCAAGATTAATATCTTTCTATTAGTATCACATTCTTATTAGTATTATTTTTTCAATGACTTAGGCTTCATTTTATATTACCCAAATTACTGCCCAAAACAATAATAATCATCAAGTTTTTCTAGAGGATTAGAGAATCTTTGTTGGTCCTTATGCAACATAAGGAACAACAAGCTCTAGATTTGAGATCATTAATTCTTTTTTTTTTTTTGGGGAAAATTTGGGACTAATGAGCCCATGTATTAACCAAAAATGTTGCAAGAATAGTATAAACCAAGAGAAAAACTGCTGAAAATAAAAGAAAAACCACCCACAAACCAAAAACAAAACTGGGTGGGGATAAAACAGATGAACTCAGCATAACAGGTTAACCCAACATATAAACCACATCATGTAGTCCAGTACAGACAGCAAATTTTAAAAGTAATCAGTAATCAGGACCCAGGTTGCCACAGGCCAGACAAGCAACAAAACTGATAAGCACCGGGCCATCACAGTGGGAGCAAGCAGCAGCATAAAGCCACCTGGGGTTAACCTGGGTCATCATCGTCCCGCAAAAACAAAAAATGAACACAGCCAACAGGTGCTAGAAAAACTCCACAAACTTCATTTTGAGAAATTCCACATTTTTCCATCTCTTTACTTTAGCCAACACAGTCACTTTGACAACCAAACCAATGGCATAGGAAGAGCACCAAGTGTTGGAGAAATAACGATTGTTTCTTTCTTTCCACAAATGATAGATGATGCAGTTTAAGAGAAGGAAACAAAAATGTTTCTCTAATCTATTTAAATGAGGCAAATTATCCAAGAAATCAAACGCCGGAGAGAGATTCGGTCTAAGCAAAAAACTATCAAAAATTGGGAGCAAATCAGTAAGCACCATAAATGAGAAATCACAGTCAAAGAAAATGTGTTGGTGGGATTCCATAGACAGACTGTAGAAGGAGCATAAAGGGTTAACATCAGCCCCCTGGAGGTAAGAACATAAGCACATTTTAACTTCCATAAAATCGCCATCCATGAATAACAGGAGTACCTAAGAGAGTATTTTGAATGCCAAATGAATTTATCCCAACTAACCTTATCCAGGTTAGAATAGAAAGCTCCCGAGAAGATTCTTAAGGGTAGGACAATTGGAGCCATCCAAGGATAAAATTGGTTGCTCCGAGATGGTAATCCCAAGAATAACCTGTCTCAAAGGTTCAGGGATGGACAGAGGAAGAGCCCAATGCCCATCAGCTATAAAATTGCAAATCGGTAAATGATTCCAGTTCAACTCCTGGGATAATTTAGCCAACGAGACCCCATTACACCAAGGATCCCAAAACAAAGAGAATTGGCAGCTAAGGGCAATAGAAAAAGCAACCTTGTCTTTAATAATTTGAGCAGTATTGCAAATGTGCTTCCAGAATTTCGAAGCAGAGAGTGACGTGGACTGTCAGGGAAATCCATATTTGGCTAAGAACCAAGAACCAAATAGGGAGTTGTTGGAATAAATGTGCTAGATGCAAGCATAGGTTGTACCAAAATACAAAGCCTTAATTGAAGAAATACCAAGACCCCTGAACTGCTTCGATTTCGATGTACAATCCCAGGAAATTAAGTGCAGTTTCCTCCCAATGGTGTTCCCATGATAAAGGAACTTAGCGCAAAGCTTGGAAATAGATGCTTGACAACTTTTAGGTATAATGGATCCCCTGATCCAGTAAGCAATAGTGTTAGTCATGGTAAACTTAAGGAATTATTAGTGTTGTCAAAACCGGGTCATGGGTCGGGTTCGGGTCCAACCCGAAATTGACCCGACACTGTTCAACCCGACCCGTTTTTGCAAACGGGTCAGTTTTCCGAACCCAAACCTGACCCGCTTTGGGTCCGGGTCAACCCGAACCCGACCCGATTCGGGTATATTTTATTAATTTTTTTTATTTAATTCAATTTTTTTAAAATTTAAATCAAATTAAGGTAAGATTTACTTCAATTAATTTAAAATAATCAATATTAATTTAATTTGAGCAATAATGTTTATAATTTTTTGAAATATCATTTACGTATTTCATAAAAATCCATTAAAAATTAATTAAAACGGGTCAAATCGGGTTGATTTCGGGTTTCCGGGTCAACCCGAACCCGACCCAGTTTTACAAACGGGTTGAAATCCCTAACCTGAACCCGACTCAGTTCAGGTTCGGGTTCAGATCATTCATGTTATTTCAAAAAAATTTATACCTGAACTCACCGGCGGCTTAATGCTGTTAGAAGGGACAAAGATAATGGGCGAATGATTTGATCCCTTAGGAGCCTCAACTTTATAGAAAGGAGAACTATAATAGTCCAATAGAGAAGAATTAACCAGCATACGGTCCAATTTTATGTGAATAGGAAGATCCACATGTTGACTGAACCAAGTAAAGAAAAACCCCACAGAGGCCAGGTCCTGCAATCCGCATTCAAAAATGAACTTATTAAGCTCTTCAAGCCTGCCCGAGAGAATCGGATTCCTCCATCTCCCCCCCCCC